GCTCACACTCCAACAACACGTCAAGTATTAAAAACCATTTCTCTCCATTCACTCCTATCAAACACACTCACGTACGCCCACTGGAAGTCCAAGCCCCTCGCACACAAAACCTCCTTTACCCCCTCCCTCCAACCTTTCCTAGGCCAACCCCTACCCCACCTTCCTTCCACTACAGACTGATACACTCTTGAAGTCATTCTGTTTCACCCCATTCTCTCTACATGTCTGAACCACCTCAACAACCCTTCCTCAGCCCTCTGGACAAAAGTTTTGGCAATCCTGCACCTCCTCCTAACTTCCAAACTACGAATTCTCTGCATTATATTCACGCCACACATTGCCCTCAGACATGACATCTCCACTGCCTCCAGCCTTCTCCTCGCTGTAACATTCATCACTCATGCTTCACACCCATATAAGAGCGTTGGTAAAACTATACTTTCATACATTCCCCTCTTTGCCTCCAAGGACGAAGTTCTTTGTCTCCACAGACTCCTAAGTGCACAGTTCACCCTTTTCCCCTCATCTATTCTATGATTCACCTCATCTTTCATAGATCCATCCGCTGACACGTCCACTCCCAAATATCTGAATACATTCACCTCCTCCATACTCTCTCCCTACAATCTGATATTCAATCTTTCATCACCTAATCTTTTTGTTATCCTCATAACCTTACTCTTTCCTGTATTCACTTTCAATTTTCTTCTTTTACATACCCTACCAAATTCATCCACCAACCTCTGCAACTTCTCTTCAGAATCTCCCAAGAGCACAGTGTCATCAGCAAAGAGCAACTGTGACAACTCCCACTTTATGTGTGATTTTTTATCTTTTAACTCCACGCCTCTTGCCAAGACCCTCACATTTACTTCACTTACAACCCCATCGATAAATAAATATATTAAATAACCACAGTGACATCACACATCCTTGTCTAAGGCCTACTTTTACTGGGAAATAATCTCCCTCTTTCCTACATACTCTAACTTGAGCCTCACTATCCTCGTAAAAACTCTTCACTACTTTCAGTAACCTACCTCCTATACCATACACCTGCAACATCTGCCACATTGCCCCCCTATCCATATATATACAACCAAAACAGTCAAAGGGTTAATGGAAATATTTGATTTTTGCCAACATTCCAGAGGATGGGTAAGGGAGCCCTCCCTAAAACCCCCAGTCCATTTCATGGATTTTTAATAGGTCTGTTTCAATTACTGGGATGCTGCAAACCATGACCAATCTTTCCTGGTTATATTTTATTATCCAAGATATAGAGTACAAAATCTTCTAATTTTATGTTAGTGCCCGGAATATCTATATTGTTTATTATGCGCACTATTTTTAAATTTATATTTTTGGAATTTTGTGTGAAATTGGCCAAGTTACCAAATTCTGAGCATTCTATAAGGTAGCTGAAATAGTTAAATGCTCATTTGATAGAATGGGAGGCACACTAGTGAAATAGCTAACAATTTGGTCGACTGAAACAATGGAATTGTATTAAGATAAGACTCAAATTAGGTGAAATTATTGGTGCATAAATTGTGCCACCCAATAATTTTGTGCCACAATAATTCCATGAGTTTTCCATCAAATTTCATACTTCTGGTGTCATCTTTAGAAAAAAAGATTTTTCTTTTTTAATTTTTAGATACTGAGAGCAAGTTTTATTTCTGGGGTTTGGAAAGCGATAGGGTTAATACCTAAAATAGCCATTAAAGTAGTGTGTGTGTATATGCAATGAGAGAAACCCACCAGTATGGAACCCACATCTGAGGTAGCATGTTAAGAAACTGGGGAAAGTGAAGAAGTAAGCAACAAGACTAGTTCTAGAGCTAAGGAGTAAGACCTATGAAGAGAGGTTAAAGAAATTACGCAGATGCAATGTTAGCCGTCACAGTGCAATTGACACTAGTGATTGTGCTCATGCCGAGTCCTAGTTTAAGCGAATTTCATTGCTCCATTCAACACACTCTTAGCTATTCCACTAGTAATATCTCCACTTTACTGATGAAGCACATGCAACCACCCATTCATCTATTTTAGCTACACTATAAAATGATCAGAATTTGGAAATTTGGTCAATTTCATACACAAATTTTTTTTTTTTAACACGTCGGCCATTTCCCACCGATGCAGAGTGACCCAAAAAGAAAGAAAAACCCAAAAAGAAAACAAAAAATTTCATCATCATTCAACACTCTCACCATCATTCATATGCAATCACTGTCTTTGCAGAGGCACTCAGATATGACAGTTTAGATGTCCCTCCAAATTGCCAATATCCTAAACTCCTCCTTTAAAGTGCAGGCATAGTACTTCCCATTTCCAGGACTCAAGTCTGGTTAACAGGTTACCCTGAATCCCTTCACAAAATATTACACTGCTCACACTCCAACAGCTCATCAGGTCCCAGAAACCACTCGTCTGCATTCACTCCTATCTAACACACTCATGCAGGCTTGCTGAAAGTCCAAGACCCTCACCCACAAAACCTCCTCTACCCCTTTTCTCCAACTTTTTTGGGGATGACCCCTACCCCGCCTTCCTTCCCCAACAGATTTATACACTCTCCAAGTCATTCTACTCTGTTCCATTCTCTCTCAATGACCCTCTGACTAACACTTTTAGTAACTCCACACCTCCTAATTTCCACACTCCTAATTCTCTGCATAATATTTACACTTCACATTGCCCCAAGACATGACATCTCCACTGCCTCCAGCTGCCTCCTAACTGCAGTATTTACAACCCATGCTTCACACCCATGTAAGTGTTGATACCACTATACTCTCATACATTCCCTACTTTGCCTCCATGGATAATGTTCTTTGTCTCCACAGATACCTCAATGCACCACTCACCTTTTTTTCCTTCATCAATTCTATGGTTAACCTCATCCTTCATAAACCCATCCACTGAAAAGTCAACTTCCAAATATCTGAAAACATTCACCTCTTCCATACTCCCTCCCTCCAATGTGATATCCAATTTTTTTTTATGTAACTCATTTGATACCCTCATCACCTTACTCTTATCTATATTCACTTTCAACTTCCCAATTTAAAAATAAAGTGCATAATAAATAATGTAGACATTCCTGGCACTAAAACAACATTTCCTCTGTTCATTATTCACATCCTCAGGCCTCTCCTATATTACACTTGCTGTCCATTTCGAATTCTCATTCAAACAAAAAACAGAAGATTTATTCTATTTTTCAGATAATAAAATAAGTGAATCACACTAATTAAGAGCCCATAAAATAGAGTGAGGGTTGTAGAGTAGCCTTACCAGTCCTCAGGAATATCAGCGAAAATAAAATATTACCGCTACTTTGAGCTCCATTTCAAGCTACTTCCACTCTTGAAACCAGTCAAAATCATCTTGTTTTCAATAATATATGTTCCATTCTATCAAATGATACCACGAAGCACCCAATAAAACTATAAAAATAATCGGAGTAAACACCGCAAATTCGCTATTTTGAACCATACACGGCGATAGGTTGAAAGGCAGGGCCAGGAGCAGAACCTTGATAAATGTGACACTTGTGCAACATTTGGGGATCTTTATTCTTATAACATTTTGCCAGCAACTAGTGACTTTTTCAGTCCACTGCAAAGAGAGGTGGAAGATGAGGAGTTTAAGATAATCAGTCCCTCAGCCTGGAGTTATTTTATTCAGTCCATCAGTCTTTATAAAAGTGCAGCGTATTCGCAGAGAAGGAACTTATAATGATGACAGATGAGGTGGAGCAGTTTCATATGAATGCACAGGGTAATGTTCACTCGACAAGAAACAAAGCCAGACTGACTAAGAATGCGTGCGTGGAATGCTTTGTGTGGGCGCTGGCAGACGAACACGTTCCATACGGCGGACAAAAACTGAGGTGATGAACAAAAACTGAGAAAATATTTTGATGAAAAAAGTCATCGAAAACCGAATTCAACGAAAACCAGGGCAAACAAAAACCGAGGTTCCACTGTATCATTATTAATATGGCGTCTTGAGACATAACACACTCTTAGTGATTTTAATGTGTACCTGCATGCCAGTACAGTGTGTAAGTTTATTTAGGTACAGGAATACATAAGTATAATTATCAGAACAAAGCCTCTCCTTGCTAAGCAACGTACTCATTTACCGACAACTAAATACGTAAATACGTAAATACCTAAATACATAATGTACATATGTTAGAACTGATTTCTTCTATTCTGTTTATTACAATATACAGTACACTACTGTATAAACGTTTAAAAATACAGTGGACCCCCGGTTTACGATCAGCTCCCAATGCGACCAATTATGTAAGTGTATTTATGTAAGTGCGTTTGTATGTGTATGTTTGGGGGTCTGAAATGGACTAATCTAATTCACAATATTCCTTATGGGAACAAATTCGGTCAGTACTGGCACCTGAACATACTTCTGGAATGAAATAATATTGTAAACCGGGGGTCCACTGTATACCAGAAATGTTAAAAATAATGCAAAGGTGACATTAAAACAATATCAAAGAAGGCTGATATAAACCCACTATCATTATAGTATGCTCCTCACTTAGCTACCAATTTGTTTATCGACATGGTCTCAGGATCAGAACTCCGTCGTTAAGTGAGGAGAGGCTGTATATATAAAATATGAAATAACTTTTAAAAACACATGACATTTTGGAAAGTTTCCACACATAATGGCGAGACACGGTGCTCACGGAGCTCATGGAGAATGTAAACAAATCAGGTGGGGCACAGTGACCATTTTATAAAGTCAGGTGGGGGGAGCTGTCTAGCAAGTTTTGGTCATAATCTGAAATGCTCGTATTAGCGGAACGGTGTAAAGCGTGGCCCTACTGTACACTACAAAAACAGACAAGCCTAAAAAAAAAAAAAAAACACAGTATAAATAAAATAAATTACAAAATACTGTCTACCAGAGTCACTTAATGACTGATGATCACTGTAAGGTCTCTTGACATGTAATATCACCATAACACCTCACATACCATACTTATATCATGTGGTACTGAAATTTCAGAATTCATGATGAAGGCAACATGAAGCTGGAGGTGCTCCCAGGAATCCTGAATGCTCTGAACTTTTCCTGAGCTGCGCTTGTTGATTAAGTTGTTCAAGAAGATTATCTCTGTCAGCATCACTGTGATATCATCTTCATTCCTGAAAGACATAAGAGAATTTTAAGTACAGTATATGAAAAAAAAAAAGGACAGAAATGACATCAAACTGTAGTGTAGCTCCGGTGGTAACCTGGTAGTGTCAGAGCAGCAAAAACACTGACTGTTGTGACCTCTAGCACATCAGTCATTCGTTAACAATGCAGGGTCACTCCAAAGAGGAAACACATTCAGCATCATTCATTCAACAGCAGTCTTGCCAGAAATGTACAAATATCACAATTCAAACTAGATGTACATATTTTAAACCATGAAATGGGTGGGGGTTTGAACCCACAGTAAGTGAGTCGTAAAACTCCAGGCCAGTGTGTAAGCCACTCGGACAGCTGGCTACAATAAGATTCATCCAACTAGGTAAAAAATTTGCATTTGTGGTCAGAGTGGGATCCATGCTAACCTCCCTATGGTGTATAAATATACCTAGTTGGATGAATGTTATTGTAGCCAGCTGGCCCAGTGGCTTACGCACTCACCTGGAGTATCACGAATCACTCGCTACAGGTTCACACCCCACCCATTTTGTGGTTTGTCTACAATCAAGTTATTATGATTTTGTGAGTCTAGATGTATTTTGGTTGCTGTATGATCCAATAAAGGCATCTCCACAGACCATAACCCTAGTCCCCAGCACCTCATGTACATGAATGGACTTGTACAGAGTGCAGAATAAGTTAACAATGCAGTTAAATATAAGTGATGAAGATTTAAACAAAATCAGAAGAGGCATTCGCAAGGCATCATAAGGAAACTAATATTAAATTTTTTTCAATAAAAATCTAATTCAAACCATTCAAAGAGACCAAACAGACCAATGCAATAAAATGCGTACTGCACTGTAACCCCTTTAGGGTCAGTGCCATAGTTTTATTGTTTTGAACTCTGGGTCAGTGCTGTAGAACTACACCATGAGCTCAGCTCACTTAGATAAGCTGTGAGTGGTAAATCTGGGCCTAGATATGAGAGAATGGGTCTATGTGGTAAGCATCCACCATATCAAAAAATCCTGCAGCACACAGTGTATAATAAGAAAAAAAACTGCGACCATGTTTTAGGTTTAAAACAGCAATTTTGCAATGTAGTTTCATATTTTTTTTTTTTTGTGAGAGTCTCCTGTGGAAGAAGGCTCAGAAGGAGAAGAAAAATAAGATTTCAGATACAATAAATAGGATTATACCTCATCAAAGTCCTTTCATAACAACTTGTGTGTGAACCAGTTATATATAATCACACCTTACATACCTGGTAGGTGCCCTCTCGGGTTACATCTCATCATCACTGAATTGTGGTAAAGATGATAGGTATGAATCTAAAGAAAAGTAGGTCAGGGTTAAACAGGTGGAATCACTGAATTAACCCTGACATAAGAAGTACAGTGGAACCTCAGCACTCGAACTTAATTGGTTCCAGAAGGCTGTTCGAGTGCCAATCTGTTCGAGTACAGAAAGAATTTTTCCGAACCAATTTTCTTTCTGGGTGGATGTCATCACTAACCTTCTTAGGCCCCATGGTGACTTATACAAATATAAAAAAAAAAAAAAAAAAAAAGCCAAGAAACACAAAATAGTTTACAGCAAAGTTCTGGCAGGTCGTGTTTGTTTGGTTGAGTCCCGAGCAAACAGTCAACTACCGAGCAATTTGTTTACCAAACAAAGCATTCGAATACCAAATTGTTCAAGTACAGAGCTGTTCAAGTACCAAGGTTCCTCTGTATAGCCCTAACTAATCCTGTTAGGGGCCATGGTCTTATGAAAGTAAATGGTATAAAACACCGACACTATGGAAACAAACACATATGCAGTTTAATGTGATCCTTCATTATCAACGTTTTGCCCACACAGTGGGCTTTTTCAAGTCACAAACAGATATACCTGGGGTGGAAGGTACGGGAGTATTTATAGTCAGGTTCAGAATGTTGAGGTCAGGTGGAGAATGCTGCATCTGATGATCCACCGGGTGGGGTATTATAGAGTCTTGGGTAGCTTGGCAGGGGTATTGGACAAGTCGTGAGTAGACCTTCTGCAGTGTTCTATGTTCTTATGTGGGATAGCGATGAAGAAGTTTCTTGGCAAGTGGTTCAGCTATGTTATAGAAGCCATTGTTCTGGTTGAAATTGTTGGTTATAGAGATAAGCGATGATTCCAGGATTCTTCGGTATTGAGTGTTGTCTTCTGTGGCGATGAGTCTTGAGTTTCTGTAGTTAATTAAATGGTTGTGTGAATTGCGATGTTGTACACAGGCATTCCTTGTATCGTCAGTCCTGCTTGCGTATTGGTGTTCTGAAATACGTGTTTGGAGGTCACTTGATGTTTCGCCCACGTATAATTTGTTGCAGTCATCACAAGGGATTATGTATACACAAATAACCCCTGCAGAGGATGGAAGCTTGTCCTGTCTACTACTGGTGATGTCCTTGATGGTCGTGGTTGTGGAGGTAGATACTTGGAATGATGTATTGGAAAAGATGTTGGAAACATGTTTGGCAATGGAGTTGGTGGGGAGGACTATGCATCTCTTCTCGGCAGTGTCTTCTCTGGGTGTGTTGAAGATGTTTAATGCCCGCCGTCTGCAGTCTCTCATGAAGTGACAAGGATAGTGGAGTTTAGAAAATACTTGTTCAATTATAGTGCATTCTTCCTCAAGGAACTCATTGCTGCAGATTCTGAGTGCGCACAGGAAGAAGCCTATAATTATACCACGTTTAGTTTTGGTGTCGTGGTGAGAGTAGAAGTGAAGAAGATCGTTTTGATTGGTTGGTTTCCGATAGACTTTAAAACGAAGTTCATGGTCAGTTTTGCAGAGAAGAACATCAAGGAAAGGAAGAGTGTTGTTGACTTCTTCTTCAAGTGTGAACTGGATTGAGGGCTCGACCTGGTTGAGCTTGTCTTGGAGAGCTTGAACGTTGACGCGCCTGGGAGTTATGAGGAGAATGTCGTCAACATAACGGAGCCAGGTGACAGTCGAAGTAATAATGGCGGAGAAACGCTCGGCTTCCAGATGTTCCATGTATAAGTTCGCCAGGACGGCACTGAGTGGCGAGCCCATGGGTAGACCAAAAGTCTGTTGAAAGAGGTGATTTTCGAAAGAGAAACACGTAAAGCCGACACATAGTTCAACGAGGTCGATGAAATCGCTGGCTGGAATAGGAAGATCAAGTGGACAACCTTACTAAAACTTTTCTTCAAAGGACTCGCCGCATTCTGAGGAACTCAGAACAAGGGAAGAAACTTTTGCACACCATACCCAGCAACCCCAGACCTGCCAGAATGTATGGCCTACCAAAAACTCACAAGCCTGGTATCCCATTGAGGCCCATATCTTCGGGAATAGGCAGTGCTCCCCACAAACTCTCAGGAATTCTCGCAAAACACCTCTCCAAACTCTTGGGCACTATCAGTCCAGCACATCTCAAACACTCGGGTGATTTTCTCAATCGCATTCACAACATCAACATCAGGAACAAGAAACTTTCCAGCCTTGACATAACTTCCCTATTCACCAAACTACCTACTACACAAGCCATCGATCTCCTGCGCAGAAAAATTGACGATTCACTTGATCTTCCTATTCCAGCCAGAGATTTCATCGACCTCGTTGAACTATGTGTCGGCTTTATGTGTTTCTCTTTTGAAAATCACCTCTTTCAACAGACTTTTGGTCTACCCATGGGCTCGCCACTCAGTGCCGTCCTGGCAAACTTATACATGGAACATCTGGAAGCCGAGCGTTTCTCCACCATTATTCCTTCGACTGTCACCTGGCTCCGTTATGTTGACGACATTCTCCTCATAACTCCCAGGTGCTTCAACGTTCAAGCTCTCCAAGACAAGCTCAACCAGGTCGAGCCCTCAATCCAGTTCACACTTGAAGAAGTCAACAACACTCTTCCTTTCCTTGATGTTCTTCTCTGCAAAACTGACCATGAACTTCGTTTTAAAGTCTATCGAAAACCAACCAACCAAAACGATCTTCTTCACTTCTACTCTCACCACGACACCAAAACTAAACGTGGTGCAATTATAGGCTTCTTCCTGCGCGCACTCAGAATCTGCAGCAATGAGTTCCTTGAGGAAGAATGCACTATAATTGAACAAGTATTTTCTAAACTCCACTATCCTCGTCACTTCATCAGAGACTGCAGACAGTGGGCATTAAACATCTTCAACACACCCAGAGAAGACACTGCCGAGAAGAGATACACACTCCTCCCCACCAACTCCATTGCCAAACATGTTTCCAACATCTTTTCCAATACATCATTCCAAGTATCTACCTCCACAACCATGACCATCAAGGACATCACCAGTAGTAGACAGGACAAGCTTCCATCCTCTGCAGGGGTATACATAATCCCTTGTAATGACTGCAACAAATTATACGTGGGCGAAACATCAAGAGACCTCCAAACACGTATTTCAGAACACCAATACGCAAGCAGGACTGACGATACAAGGAATGCCTGTGTACAACATCGCAATTCACACAACCATTTAATTAACTACAGAAACTCAAGACTCATCGCCACAGAAGACAATACTCAATACCGAAGAATCCTGGAATCTTCGCTTATCTCTATAACCAACAATTTCAACCAGAACAATGGCTTCTATAACATAGCTGATCCACTTGCCAAGAAACTTCTTCATCGCTATCCCATATAAGAACATAACTGCAGAAGGTCTACTCACGACTTGTCCAATACCCCTGCCAAGCTACCCAAGACTCTATACCCCACCCGGTGGATCATCAGATGCAGCATTCTCCACCTGACCTCAACATTCTGAACCTGACTATAAATACTCCTGTACCTTCCACCCCAGGTATATCTGTTTGTGACTTGAAAAAGCCCACTGTGTGGGCAAAACATTGTCAATAAAGGATCACATTAAACTGCATATGTGTTTATGTTTCCATGGTCTTATGTTGACTTAGTGGTATGCTTGGTGCCTGTGTGATGACATTAGTTTAAATCTCTGGCGTAAAGTG